CGGCCTCTTAAGTGAGATGGGCGCACAACCCTAGAGTCGGACACGACTGGCCCGTACGGGCAGGGGTACCTTTACCTTTACCTTTACCTTTACCTTACCGGTAATCTGAATTCTCATTACATTTCAGTTCTTATACTATATCCGATGAATATAGCATGTCAGACAAAACAAGGTAAGCTTCAACTAACTTAAAGTATACTGGTTAAAAACAAACTAACTTTCCTTCCAGAGCTGGTTGCAGTCTGGAAAAGGATCACTCCCTAATTTATTTTCTCCCTTTGTGATAGTGAAACATGGATTAAATTGTCTAGTTTTCCCCACCAATTAAGGAAGGACTGGGATTCTCTGCAAAATCTGCATGTTACCTTTCCTTCCAAGGAGCCTCAAGGGAACACACAGTAAAATAAGACCTGAAAATAAACATAGGCAGAGCAGTCTTTTACTCTGGTTACTCAGGGGTTTTGCGTGGGGGTGGCCAGAGAGTGATTCTGTTGTTTTGCCAGCAAAATAACTGTCATATCTACTATTCAGTCTCACTCTACACCAGTCCAAAAATTAGAAGTCAGCTTGGGATGTGAGGGCGATCTGGCTGTGACATCTGTCACCCCATTGATCACCAGGGTTGATTCGGCTGATCTGGCTGGCTAGGCGGGTGTCCCCTTCCTCCCTCACCGCTCCATGTGCATCCCTCCCGAAGCTGCGCGCTCGGTGGAAGAGGACGACCATCCCAGATAGAAAGAGTGTACCGTTCTTCGGTCAAGGGTATACAATAGCTGCGCTCCCCTGCTAGAACCTCCAAACGAGCTCAAAAATTAGAAGTCAGCTTAATAGTCATATTAGACACAGCATTCCTGGAAAACCATCAAAGCCTACCAATCCTGGACTCCACCAGCAATGATGCCCACAGGCTGCCCCCACATGCAGCCAATGGACTCATGATGATGAAGTCCTATTCCTAGCACACCCACTGCATCATCAGACACACAGTGTGCATCACAGTGTCCCCCAGTGTCACAGATCTAGTGGCACAGCCAGCAGTCAGCCCTCTACTGCTTGTCTCCAGGCACCCCTACAAGCCAGACTGCTTGAACTCACAGCTGTTGTTCTTTTAGCACAACACACAAAGGGGAGGAAGGAGAACCCCCACAACACAGCACCCATATAGCTCTGGGCTTAGGGGGCCTTCAAAGAGCACTCACATTCGTCCTGAGCCGAGACTAAGGTTCAGGGCCCACCCAAGGTTATCCAAGGCAGTGGCGTAGCGTGGGGGGTGCAGGGGGGGCCGGCCGCACCGGGCGCAACATCTGGGGTTAGGGCAAATCCACAGGTTAGGGGGCGCAAATCCACGGGTTAGGGGCGCAAATCCACAGGTTAGGGGGCGCAAATTACTTGCCTTGCCCCGGGTGCTGACAACCCACGCTACGCCACTGATCCAAGGCCAAGAGTGGAAGATGCAACAGGCAGAGTCACAGACACCCCGCAACAGCCATCAGCCTCCAGTTGATCATTGCACTGAGTGACAGATTGTGATGCAGAAAATGAGAGTTTGTGCCACATCAAGGTTGAGGTGGAAATACCCTTACTCAGCTTTTGTATACCTAACTGGGGGGAAATCCAACAGTGATGTCAGGGGTAAAAGAAAGGGAACTTTTAGGAGGCTGCCGACATGGATTCCAGCCCAGGGCATTTCCTGAAACAGTCAGCCAAAGCAACACAAAAGGATGACACAGCTCATGGGGCATTGATTTTCCCCGAGACCCTCATCATTAATACCAAGAGGAGTCCATCAGTACCTTAGAAAGTGGTACTGTAGACAGCAGATTATTTGGGCCATTTTTATATTAGGGCACCAGCTTGATGTTAGGAACACTTTTGCTATAACACAACCCCAAAGAGGCGGGCCTCACTTTTGGTTGACATGGAACATGAGTTGGGATGGATCAAATGGCATGCAGGAATCAGTCGCACAACCCCAAGCCTTTCTAAACAAGGAGGAATTTTGCTCATCTCCTGGAGGGGACTGTCAGGCAGGATTCCAAAGAATTTTAAAAAAAATGTTCATGACTTTTGCTATTCTATGGGAATATATGACTATGAGTCTCCTTAAATTATAGATCATAAATATATAAATATTACAACTACAAACAAAAGACTCATTAAATACTGTCCTATTAATGACAGCGATGTTTGCTTTTTCTTATTTTCTTTTGAATTTTTTGTTTAGAGCATTATACATTCTTATATTATTATTCATCATTACTCAATTTTAACTGTATTTGGTCTGTTTAAAATATATGAAAGTATCCGTTCTAATTGTTTAGATACTGTTTTCTCAATTCGCATGGTTTCATCAATTCAAAAATATTAAATGGCACACCTAAAACTTTGCCAGCCTTACCAGTGTGGTGCCCTCCAGATGTTTTGGAGTGCAGCTCCTGTTGGCCTCAGCCAGCATGGCCATTTGATGCCAGGGCTGAAGGGAGTTGTGGTCTGAAACATCTGGTGGGCACCACGTTGGTGAAGGCTGAACAAAGCAGTGACAGGCATAGCTTGGGAAACTGTTTCATAACAGCAGCAGCACTTCCAGGCAAAGCCCCACACTAGATCTTGCCTCTCATAGGAGGGAAGCAGGGCCAGTCTACCCAAGTGGCAAGGTAAAGCGACTGCCACAGGTAGCAGGATTCATAGGGGCAGCATATCTGGCCTCCAAAGTACGTATCACCTCCTGCTGCTGCTGTGGTGGCAGTGACAGCACTCCCTGGAGGCCGGATCTGTGCTTTCTTTGGCAGCCCACCCCCCATGCCACCTCTACAGCGGCCTCTTGGTGAACAGGTCTCCCGACTCTTGTTCCCAATGCACAGCTTTATTCCCCCCAGTTCCTGATGTAGATCTTCACTCAGCCCTTCCTCCCTGATAGGCAGGAGGTGCCAGGTTGTGGCTTGCCTTAGGGGCCAAAGTGTCTTGGGCCAGCCCTGGTACAGAAATTTCAAAGACTATGCAGGGAGTGGAGAGGCTTCTATGGGAGAAGATGGTTTTTCCAATCTCTTCTCCATCTTTCTGGGTGATGCTAAGGAAATGCAGATGCACCATTATTTTTTTGCCTCATTTTGCGAATTCTCCTTATTGTATTGCTCCATCATGTCTTCTCTCTCCTCTCTCCTCTCTCCTCTCTCCCTCCTGCTGCCCCTGGCATGTGAGCAGCTTGAGCAACCGAGAAGACACAACGTGACCAGACCTGGGCCAGGCTCCTGCTGTTTATATGACTTGTAGCTGCCTAATAAATTACTGCTTGCTTATACAGTACAGGTGAAAAGTATTCTGTGAATGGTTCTCCAGGTCCTTCTTTGCATTTGGATACAGCATACAGGGGCTTCATTATGGGCTGCCATCAGCAGGTGCATGCTGAGCCTGCAAGTCCTGCCAATTACCCATCAAAGCTCTACCTAAAAGCAAAGTTTGTATTCTTAGGCACACATCCAAGCATTCTTCACAGCTAAAGTTGCCCCCCCCCCCAGCTCTTAGGCTTACCAGCTGTGTAGAAAACAGAAATGAAACCATTACAGTGGTACCTCGGTTTACGAACTTAATCTGTTCCAGAAGTACTTTCTTAAACCGAAACCATTCTTTAAACCGAGGCGCGCTGTCCCTAATGAGGCCTCCTGCCGCCAGTGCCCTTCCACCATTCTGATTCCGTTCTTAGACCGAGGTAAAGTTTGCAAACCGGGACACTACTTCCGGTTTTGCGGAGTTTGTAAGCCGAATCATTTGTAAACAGGACTGTTCCCCTTCTTCCAGCTTTACATTGATTTTTGTTTGTGAATGGAACTTTGTCGCCTTGCACACTACTGCTAAGACAGGTGATCTGGGGGGGAGGAGCAGAATGGCAGCGCAAATCTTATGTCCCAGCCAACCTAATTTACTGAGGGCAGCTGCTCTTTTCTGGTACCTGTTCTGGTAATTTGGGTTTGAGGACTCATTGAAGCCTGGCGCAAACACACACAAAGGGTGGCAAAGCAGGGCTGGTGTGGGGTGTGGCCTGGGAAGACTCTTAGATCTAGAAAGCCGAATGTGACCTGGAGCCTGAGGTTCTGGGTTCCCTCTAGTCACCCGTTATCCAGAGCCACCAGCCTGATGTCTGTGGAAACTACAAGTCAAGCAGCTGTGCTGGCAGCACCAAAGGCACAAGCCTGGGCAGTATGTCTGGAGGTCCTGGGTTGCCCAGATGGCAGGGTCCCCCTCTTGGCCTCACTGATGAGGTCCAAAGGAAAGCACCAGCTTGGCTGCAGGAGTTGCCAGACGGAGGTGTACAAGGTGCCATCCAACCGTTTAGAGACTGCACTCTGGATTTGTGTGGGGTTTCTCCTGAGCATTCTCTTCGCCAATGATGCCTTGCAAGGCAGCAGAGATTTCAGATCAGCTTCCTTCTCCTACATACAGGGAACTAGGCAGAGGGCCTTCTTGGTAGTGGCGCCCACCCTGTGGAAGGCTCTCCCATCAGATGTCAAAGAAATAAACAACCACCTGACATTTAGAAGACATCTGAAGGCAGCCCTGTTTAGGGAAGTTTTTAATGACTGATGTTTCAATGTCTTTTTAATCTTTTGTTGGAAGCTACCCAGAGTGGAAGGGGAAACCCAGCCAGATGGGAGGGGTATAAATAATAAATTACTACTGCTACTACATACCCTCCCAGGTTGCTGAGCTCCATCTGCCCCTCATTTCCCATGCACATGTATACATACATACATACATACATTGTTGTTGTTTAGTCGTTTAGTCTTGTCCGACTCTTCATGACCCCATGGACCAGAGCACGCCAGGCACTCCTGTCTTCCACTGCCTCCCGCAGTTTGGTCAAACTCATTTTAGTAGCTTCGAGAACACTGTCCAACCATCTCGTCCTCTGCCGTCCCCTTCTCCTTGTGCCCTCCATCTTTCCCAACATCAGGGTCTTTTCCAGGGAGTCTTCTCTTCTCGTGAGGTGGCCAAAGTATTGGAGCCTCAGCTTCAGGATCTGTCCTTCCAGTTCCAGTGAGCACTCAGGGCTGATTTCCTTCAGAATGGATAGGTTTTCGCCCAACCTCACACAAATGGCTTCCTGATTGCTCCCAGAGTAAAAAAAAAACAACTCCCATTCCTTATCTGGCACCTCTCCTCCGCTTTCCGGTGTTCATGCCCCAAGAAAATCCCGCCCATGACTTTTGTCTCACCTTGAACGCCCTCAGCCCCTTAAACACATCCTGCTCTACCCTTTCCCCTTGGCTGCCCTTTGATGATGCTAACCCTCTCTTCCTTTGAAAACTAAGGGCTTAGCAACACTTATCTTTGGTCCCACTCTTTCAGGCAGAGGTCCAGGGCCCACGCTTTAACGCTCCGTGTCAGAGCAGTTTGCCGGGGGGGAAATACTTGTTAAAGCTGAATCAGTGCAAACATCCATTTGGGTTTTCCACTGATTGACATTTGCTCCAGTTGAACTTTAAAGAGTGTGTTTTACAGGGAATGCTCCAGAGCAGGCTTCCTCACACTCGGCCCTCCAGATGTTTTGAGACTACAATTCCCATCCCCCTAAATAACTTTAGGGCGAATGCTTCTATCAAGGATACATACAAGGGTTCCCAAACTCTGTTGCAATACTCAGCACCTGTTATGGGCTCAGGTAAGTGATTTCAACAGCCTAAGTCAATTATCAGTCAAGCCTAGCAGCAACCTGTCTCTGGCATAATCCAGGCACCAGATGTTTCACAAAAGTACATGCAGTATATGTTCTGTCTCTCCCATCCCCATCCTTGTGTTTCACACTCCGGACTTTCTTCAGTGGAAGTTTGCAGCAGCCCAATATATTTGCTCTTCTCTGAGCAGTGGAAAGTTCCCAGGTGTGGTCCCTACCCAGGTTTGGTCTCCTTTGGAAGGAAATCACTGGAGACTTAATTTGTGTTTTGTAATATTTGAGCTTATTTACAAACATGCAGGTTGAGCATAAGTGGAGGCCCTGCTTAAGCATTCCAGTAGACAGCTAAATACCCCTGTCCCTTAATGAGGTATCCGGACGAGATGGCCAGCACCCTAAGATACTGTGCGCCCAAACACAGGGCTAGCAGACTCCAGGGATTAATCGGCAGCCCTTATGCCAGCCTTTTCCTTCTCTTATAATGTCTTTGGAATAATTTAGGGCTTATCCACACTGGCACAGCCCACAATTTAAAGCTCTGTGTCTGAGCACCTCTTTCTAGCTCTGGAGCAGGCTTCCTCAAACTCAGCCCTCCAGATGTTTTTGGCCTACAACTCCCATGATCCCTAGCTAGCAGGACCAGTGGGATGGGAATTGTAGTCTCAAAACATCTGGAGGGCCGAGTGTGAGTAGGCCCGCTCTGGCACTCTTTAAAGCTCAACTGGAGCAAATGTCAATCAGTGGAAAACCCAAATGGATGTTTGCACTGATTCAGCTTTAACAAGTGGTTTTTCCCCCAGCAAAGTGCTCTGACATGGAGCGTTAAAGCGTGAGCCCCGGAGCTCTGCCTGAAAGAGTGGGACCAAAGATAAGTGTTGATGAGCCCTTAGTTTTCAAAGGAAGAGAGAGGGTCATCAAAGGGCAGCCAAGGGGAAAGGGTGGAGCAGGGTGTGTTCAAGGGGCTGAGTAAATGGTGAATGGATGCAAGAAATAACAAGACCATAAAATAAAGCTGAATTTTTTATAAAGTGACAAAAATAACTGTTTACTTGGCCGTTTTCCTATGTCGCAAAGGCTGAAATTTCAATTCGGTGGAGGAGGGTCAAGATATAAAGTGATATGCATGAAATTTTAAATATAGCTATATAATCTCTATTGTAGTAAGATAAGACCTTTGGAGCAGGCATTTTTTTTAAAAGAAAAGTTTTTTATGAACCGCCTTAATGATTTATCATCCATTCCCATCAAAACGTCTTGGTAATAATGGTCCCATTTCTTTCTTCCCTCAGCATTGGTGCACGCTGTGGCAAAGAGGGAAAGACCCTGCACCCACAGAGTGGACATGGTCATCTATTAAAAAATAAGAGCAGATGAAGATTGTTCTTTGACAGAAGGCACAGTCATCCATGTAGACCTGTGTCTTGGGCGGATCCAGTAATCCTAGGCTCCACTCTATCATGTGCCAGCCCTCCTCCAGCCCTCCAGTGCCTAAGCCAAATCCAAACTACAACCGGAATCAAGAGTTGGTGGGCCTCACCAAGGCAACCAGGAAAAGACCAAGGAGCTACAGAGTGGACATGGTCATATGTTAAAAAAAAAGCAGAGCAGATGAAGAGGAGGCATCGTCAACAACTTGAGTAGGGATCAGTGAACTGACAAACTACTTATTGGGCATTCATCTTGATTTGCTTGCACAAAGCTTATGCAGAAGTTAGATTATATCTGGACTTTATAGAGCAATCTGAATGACTGAGCACTTTAATCTACTTTAATAGCACCAACCTAAATCTCCTGTGCACACTTGAATCCCTCCCACAAAATACCAACAAGGAGGTGGCCAGAGAGAATGGCAGCTTACTCACAGGTGCTGGGCTGCGACTAGGTGGCTGGCAGCTGGGGAATTCCTATGCCAGCCGCTTGGGTTGGCAGGCTTTCCCACCATCCATTCCTTTGATTTCTGACCAACACAGCCAGGCTAAATAAAAGACTCCCAATTCTTCTCATTGTACTTGTATTGTTATTTACGCTTAACGCACAGCCTTCTATTACCCTAACTTGTTTTCATGTACTCTAACAAATTAACATTTGCACGTTGTATTTTACAAGGATCAGTTTAATTCCGCAAGGAGATTGTTATTTGGACAATATGTTTGTAGGTAATCTTTGAATATTTTCTTTTATTTACAAATTCAATGAACGATGGTATAATAATGCAAATTCTTGTTTTGTATCCCACCCCCTTTCCTTGTCTTAATCTTTTTCTTTTTTATTCAATTAAAATACAAATATATAAACATACATAAAGATAATTAATAAAAAATAATAATAATAATACAGCCAGTCTAAGTGGGCTGGGCTTCACTCCGGTTTGCCCCCAGCCTATAAAGGCTGGCTGTGCCCAATCCCAGTCGGCTGAAGAACATCCCTCCTTCCACCCTATCAGTAATACTGTGGGTTTGTAGGTTAACCTTTTGCTCCTAGAGTACTGTGTTTGTGAGCCCTGCTATGGTTCTATAATGGTTGCTGTTTTTGGAACCAGGAAGCAATCTGCAAACAGATTGGCCCCATTTGCAGGTTTTGCTTTCCCCATAGCAACAATCAGTATTTGTTGCTATTTGTTGTTAATATCCGTTGAAAATATTAATATTTTCCTTTTCTTGTGGTTAATCTTAAACAGGGGTCAGCAAACTTTTCTTGGAGAGGTCTGGTTCACTGTCATCCACATACTGCCAGAACCACCTTTTGTGAATCAAGAGCAGTTTCTCCTCTTTACCTGGCCTCATAGTCATTGTGGATTAGCAGGAGATGCTGCAGAATAGAAAGCAGATGCTGCTCTGCGTTGACTCGTTAACTTGCAGGTTTTGCCTAAGCCTAATCCAACCTCCACCTGGAATCAATAATCCACAGGGTGGACATGATGAACATAGCTGTCAAGCGTCCCTTATTTGGCGGCACAGTCCCTTATCCCAGCGCCATGTCCCGCTGCTGTCCCTTATTGATGATGTCCCTTAAATAAGCTACTGAAGGTAATGGGGCCCTTTCTATGTCCAGCTGTGCTTTGTCAACAACAAATTGTTGCTGTTTTTTTGTGTTTAATATATGCTATATGGTAATTTATGGACCTAATAGGTATCTAAAGCCATTTGCATGCAACAAAATATGTATTTTATCAAAGTAATTGTTGATCCCTTATTTTGGCTGCTGATCCCTTATTTTCGAGGCTGCTGGTCCCTTATTTTCAAATCTGTAAGTTGACAGCTATGATGATGAACTTCATGAAGAATTTGTAGTAATTCTCAAAGGTGCCCAGGGTGGACATGGTCTTATAATCCTCTTCAACAACTGAAATGTCCTCTGTGCACCAGATAAGCTCAATATAAACTTAATATAAGATTGTGATGTAAGCTGACACCCCTTCATTGAATCACTATCTATTAAATACTGTTAAAAGTTAAGTACTATGACAAATATGAACAGAACATTGTTCCAAAATAATTATGTCAAAACATGGGTTGAAGTTTTAAAAAAATATGTCAAGATGGGACAAGTTAAAATTGTCATTGCTGGACAAAATTTCACTAATAAAAATGAATGTTTTGCCTAGAATGATGTTTTTATTTCAAACAATACCTATTGTGACTAATGATTTGTCGAAGAACATCCATCCCTTCCTACTCTATTCAGTAGTGCTCTGGGTTTTGTATGCTAACCTTTTCCTTCCCGGGTTACTGGCTTTGCTGGAGTTCTATCACATCTGCTGTTTTTGGAGCTGGAAAGCAATCTGCCTGCAAACAGATTAAAAAAAAATCTTTATTGAAAGTTCAAAAAGTACATCATAATATGTGCACTAAACATGGTGAGACACAAAGAAAAAAGAGAAACAGAAACAGAACCCTGTGTAGAAAAGATGATAAAGGGGGGGGGGATCCAAAACTGTATATTTTACAATGTTGTTACTGTACTTCACCAGATCTTAACCTATTACAGTATTTGTAAGAATGGATTCCAAAAATCACTGAATTTGTCCATAGCAAGTCTGTGTTTATAGGCAAGTTGTTCATATGTTGGAATTTGTATAAGTCCTCAGTCCAATCACGGAAGGGAGCCACATTATCCCTATAACATCTCCAACAGTTAAATACCTTTGCTAGCCCTTTTTAAACAAATGTAATGGGGTCAGGTATATTCTAAATATTTTGTTGTTGTTGCAGGAGCCTCAAATTAAGGTCCAGAGACACCCTTGTTATGCTTTTTAATTTACTTAAGCAATTATTTATTTATTACTGTTTCACTGTATTCTTGTGAATCGCTTTGGGACGTTAAGTTACGGGAAGTGATCCGTACACTTAATAAATGAAGCTGACAGGTAGTTCCATATTTGGTCTTGGTTTGAGCAGACCTGCCAAGCCATAAAGTTGATCAGGTGGCCTTGGGCAAGTCATGGTCTTTCAGACTAGTTTCTAGGCTTCTTTTGACTATGAATAGAAAATGAGAAATTCATGAGCTCCTTGACATAAGAATGGGATAAAGGTACCTCTTCCCCTACGGGCCAGTCTTGACAGACTCTAGGGTTGTGCGCCCATCTCACTTAAGAGGCCGGGGGCCAGCGCTGTCCGGAGACACTTCCGGGTCACGTGGCCAGCGTGACAAAGCTGCATCTGGCGAGCCAGCGCAGCACACGGAAACGCCGTTTACCTTCCCGCCAGTAATAATAATAATAATAATAATAATAATTTATTATTTATACCCCGCCCATCTAGCTGGGCTTCCCCAGCCACTCTGGGCGGCTTCCCAAAGAATCTTAAAATACTATAATACATCAAACATTAAAAGCTTCCCGAAACAGGGCTGCCTTCAGATGTCTTCTAAAAGCCTGGTAGTTGTTGTTCTCTTTGACATCTGTTGCGAGGGTATTCCACAGGGAATGCGCCACTACCGAGAAGGCCCTCTGCCTGGTTCCCTGTAACTTGTCTTCTCGCAGTGAGGGAACCGCCAGAAGGCCCTCGGTGCTGGACCTCAGTGTCCGGGTAGAACGATGGGGGTGGAGACGCTCCTTCAGATATACTGGACCAAGGCCGTTTAGGGCTTTAAAGGTCAGCACCAACACTTTGAATTGTGCTCGGAAACGTACTGGGAGCCAATGTAGGTCTTTCAAAACCGGTGTTATGTGGTCCCTATTTATCTACTTGCACCCGGGGGTGCTTTCGAACTGCTAGGTTGGCAGGCGCTGGGACCGAGCAACGGGAGCGCACCCTGCCGCGGGGATTCGAACCGCCGACCTTTCGATCGGCAAGCCCCAGGCGCTGAGGCTTTTACCCACAGCGCCACCTGCGTCCCTAAGAATGGGATATGGGATAGTAAATATGATTATTATTAATAATAATTTGTAGAGCAAGCAAGGGGAACTTTTAGCAGTCCAGATGATGCTGAACTACAGCGCACATTGGCCATGCTTGATGAAGCTGGTGGGATTTGTTGTTCAGCAACAACTGAAGGATCTAAGGTTTCCCACAGCTGGGAAACATTGAGTTGCTTTAAATATAAGCACTATCATGTAGCTTGATTTTGGAAGACTGTGTGTAGTTGCAGTTGTTGAACATACCTGGCTGAAATCCCACCTTAAGACATTTTGCTGCCTGTATTGAAGTCCAAATTATGTGTGTGCACACACATACACACCAGCTCAGGTGTACAAAGTCTTGCTGCACTATTCAGATACAACAATTCCTGTCTTCATGTAATCTTCCCTGCTCTTGCAGGCCAGTTTTGCCAGGCTACAATACAGTCTAATCCATATTTATTTGGGTAAAATCCTGTTGAAAAGAACGGGACTTCTAAATAAACATGCATAGGATCGGACTTTCTAACAGCCATGCTATTCAAGATACTTATGCATACTTACTTTGTAGTAAGTTCCACTGGACTCAGTGGAACTTACTTCCATTTAATCATTCAGATAATCAGAGTCCAAAAGTTTATGTGCAACAGAGACATGGAAATGTGCTATCAATTAACACATTCAGTGTGATTCCATGACAGATAAATGACTGATATATGAGGGTAGTCTCATAAGCAAAAGCAAGATGGAGACAGCAGTGTGCCTGTTTTCTGAAGTCTAGCAAAAATAATCCCCATGTGGAAAGTTTATTCTAAATATAATAAAAGTTTCAAGTCAAGTTGAAAGTTTGTCCCATTCCACAATGAAAATTTTACAATTTATTCTGCACACTTCTGACTGCATTGCCCCAGCCACTTTGGGCCGCTTCCAGCATATATAGAAACATAATAAAACATTAAACATTTTTTTAAAAAACAAACAAACCCTTCCCTATACAGGATTGCCTTCAGACGGCTCGGGGGTCGGAGAGCTCCATACCTCCAACATTTCTACCAATGAAAATAGGGACATCCTAAGGAAAAGCAGGAGATTCCGGGACCAAATCAGAAACCGGGACGGCTTCTCTAAATCAGGCACTGTCCCTGGAAAACAGGAACACACGGAGGATCTGTTGTGTATGCCATGTTGATAGTCAAGATGACGCCATTTTTAATGGGCAGAAGTAGCTGCAGCATTGAACTCATACACAGCTCGTGTTGATACCCACAAATTGGCCTGCTTGGATGGTACCCTTATCTGTGAGCTTGGGGCGCTGGGCGCACAGCCCAGAAAGGGGAAAGAAACATTGGTAATCTTTGGGGTATCAGCCACTACTTGCGTTCTCATGTAACATATGCTGTCCTACTGTATAAAGAATGTATCCATAGATAACTTCATGAACAAAGGCACTGAACAGGGAACTCTTCACATGTTCAAAGGCACTGAACAGGGAGCTCTTCACATGCCCCAAAGGTACTGAAAAGGGAACTCTTCACATGCTCAAAGCCACTGAACAGGAACTCTTCACATGCTCAAAGACAGCCCCTCTCCTTGCTGTGGTGAGCAATGGGTACTTTCTCTTTAACAAAGCACTAGAACATTTGACTGTGTCAACCACAGCAAACT